CAGAAATCATCGAGTCAGAGTATCAGACAGTCTAAGAAATCAAAGAGTACTTGAGGAATGAAAGTTTTCTAGCCTCCGGCAAATTATACGACTCATTGGGACCGTAGCTCTCCAGGTAACTTCTTCAACCGTAGAAGACGAGGTTGATGGCCGCAGCTTAGAAGAGCGAAGATGAAGAGAAGATGAGCACAACGACTGCGACAAGATCTGCCTCGAGAAAACCATACCTCGTTGCTCTGAGGAATGATCAAACAGAAAATTTTGGAATGATCTCCCGAACTTTCCACTTCTGTCACTCCCTCACTCCCATGAGTGTCACTTCCGGTGATACAGAGAGAACAAGTCACGTGCTTTTAATCAAAATATCGTTCACATATTGGCTAAGAGAAACCGATTTTGCAATGAATCTTGTTTGAGCTGTAATGGTTTGAGTCTCGGATCCATTTCGAATGTCATCGACCACGAATTAATCGAATTGGCTGACAAGAACTGTCAAAACTTTTTTTAATGCTGTGGTGCTTTAGTCATACTGTATTAGTCTGAGGAACCCGCTGGTCTGCGGCGTTGAAACGAACTCGAAACGACTTTACATGATCTGTTTCAGCTTCTGCTTTGAACGTGGAAAAAAGTGCCATGATTGCTGGCAGGAACTTATGAAATTATAAAAATTCATCCCCTTAACAGCGATACCGTATGTTTTGCGTTTACGTGCATCTAAATTTAGCCAATGAGGCGTAATCGATTGAAAGAAGACTAGGATCATTGGTAGAAATTCGTTGGCTTCCTATATTCGAATTTCAAAGGCAGCTGTGGACTGTGGCTGTGACTGAGTTAATGCTTCCTCCTTCCTCATTATGATACCTGGGAATTCGTCATAACGATCATTTGAGAAAATTTACTTCTGACAACCTGCTTACGTCGCAATGGTACGGATTCGAATGCGGCTAAAAATGGATCAAATGGCTGCCGGCTGTCACTGATAATCGGCAGAGCGACTGAGTAATGATGTTTATGATCGCTTCGCAAGGGTCACCTCCGAGCTACCGTTTCCTGGCTGGTTCCGGCAGCTGGACGCCAAGGAAACGTTTTCATATGCTGAGAGCTACAACCAACGTCAATATCGCATCATCAGCATGAATCATTCTTCTCGGTTCGATTGTTGGCTGCATCACTATTATCTGCCAGAAGGTGATCTATCACGTCATTTGGGCATTAACGTATTAAGTTATTCTTCGATAATGAAGCAGTAATACTCCAAAAGTTTTAAATGAACCCAACTTTGGGGTCGCGTGCATAATAATAAGAATCGATAAACTTGAAATACAGACTTATTTGAAATGAACACCGCTGCAAGTATCGAGATCAAAGGAGGTAACGGTCCTGCATCGACCTGACAAACGACAAGTGTAAATATTTTCATACCGAAATTACACGAAGCCAACCACTCTTCCCGGTGAAAAGCCATGTGGCTACATGAAACATGTGGCGGATGGGTGGCAAGCCTTCGTCCTTACCAAAATCTTCATTGGTCACTGACAATTCACATTCTTAGGCTAGAATTTGATGACAGTAATTCATAACTTCTTCAAATTTGTAATTTGAATTTCTGTTTCATAATTTCCCACTCGTCAGTTAATTTTAATGGCCGTTTATCCTTTCCGGTCACAGGATCAGACTCGTCAGACAGTGGCTTCAACGTTTTCAATCCCTGTCAATATCTGATTTCCGGCAGAAGATAATCTAGAAGTCTAGAGCAGAGTCTCGAAGAGTACTTGCCGCAGGCTGTTCTTAGCTGTCCCCGGGATTTTTGCCAGTCAGTTGAACAAACAGCAGCTGTTTCGTCTTCCTTTCCTTCCTTACTCCTTTCCCTCCCTTACTTCCTCCGCTTCTGGAGCCATTCGCAGGACGTGCCGAAGCCATCGCAGCTACCTCTTCTCAGTTTGGAGAAGGAGCGGGTGTACACGAAGGCTCTCCTGCATGCACGAACTCCAGGCCATGTGAAGACGTGTGTGCCCAACGATTTATCTCAGAAAGGCCATTTAAGCCGTTTCTCATTCGTCGTCTTCGAAAGTCACATTAGTACTTTACAGTCGCATGGACTTGTCTGCGAAAAGTAGGAAGTTTTATGCGTTATTAAAAGGCAGAATTGCTGGAAAAAATAGAAAGCATGCCCATAGAATTGAGACCCACCACCTGATTTGCTGGTTCTACCAGATATACTGATCATTAATGGTTATAAAGTAAAACCATCCTCTGGGTATGTCCACCACTGTGTTTGGCACAGCTTGCTGTCTCAGACCGATCATTCAGTCCAGAACTGGTTAGAAGACATTTTGGGCGTGGAGTACACAGAGAAGAAATGCTGACTTTCTTTAAAACAGAAAATTATCACTTACTTCTAAGACCCACTGTATGAAGACACGGTATTGCCACCTGTTTTATATAATTACGAGACGTGGACCTTAGCGAGAGAGGAAGAAAAGCTGTCAACAGTTCAGCAGCAAGTTATGGCAAAAAACAATAATAGAAATTTCCATAAAAGACAAGCTTAGAAATGAAGAAATAAGAAATACAGAACGTTATATCAGTTCTAAAAATAGAAAATGACAATGCACTGGTCTCGACTAACAGATGACAGTTAAATTTCCCCGGTGACGGATTGGTAGACAAGAGTATGTGAGCGCCCAATTGGGAAACCATGACCCAGATGGGACGCTGAGCTAAGAATGATTGGCACCCGCGTAGCGTACGGAACACTGTATGATTTCCATTTTATGCCATCAAGAAGTAAACGTCACGAGGTTCATGTGTCCCTTAGGCCAAGAAGCCTCCTCACGTTTAGAGAGTAGGCGACAGCAGTTATCAGCTTGAGGTCATCTGTGATCGGTACTGAAAGTCCATCTGATTTTTTGATTGTTTGAAATGTTTATAAAAATAACGTATTAGAATAAGAAACCCTTTTGCAC